GCCTGTGGTTCCTCTGACTCACATCAGCACCTTAAGTCTCCAGCTTGCATGCATGGCTATAAATCAAGAACGGCTAAAGTGCAATAAAATATTCGAGTGTTCCTTAAGAGGATGACATTACTGAAGCTCACAGTGTCTGCAGGTGAATCACTGCATGACTGCCTAGCAGGGTTCGAGTTCCGCAAAAGGAACTCTCCTTACCAGTGTGTGGGAAGTCGGGGTGCTGGTTTCTTCTCCACTGGGCTTTGAAAAACATTTTGGGTCATGAAATACGCTGTTTTCTCATCCTCCCTCCCTCTGTCCCTCCGTCCCTCTGTCCCTCCCTTCCTTTTTTCTCTCTTTCTCTCTCCTTTTTTTTGGCGGGGGGTGTCTTTTTGAGACGGTGCTGGAACTCACTATGTAGACCAGGCTGTCCTCAGACTCACAGACACCCGTCTGCCTCTGCTTCCTGCTGCTGGGATTGCTGGGACTAAGGGCATGTTGTTGGAACTTCCAGCCGTTCTCCCATGACTGTGCACGTGCTGGCAAGACAGACATTCCAGGGCCCTACGTCCTATGTAATCTGTGCGCTGCGTGATCACGTAATCGATGCACATGCGTGGCGTAGCTACGTAAGCCCATATGCACATGTCATAAAAAGCGGGTTACAGACCCCTCACGCCTCTCTCCCTGCAGGACCATTTCCATAGGCCTAAGCACTCCCTTCTGTTCCCTTCCCTAATAAACTCCTAAATAGTGGGTTTTGCTGTACCTCGTGGGTTTTCTTGCACAGTAAACAGTTCTGCTTAATGAATAACACAGCACCGTATAATAAATAACATGTCATCACACCTGGCTATATTCTGTCACTTAGATCTCATAAAATTTTGTCATTTTCCCCCCTAAGGAAATAGAGCATAGCAGATACAATTACAAGTTTCCTTCGAGTCTAGCCTCTCCTCTAAAAGGGTCACATAAAAAACTCAGTAAATTAATTCTGGGCAGTGGTGACACAGACCACACACACGCACACACACACACACTCACACAGACACACACACACTCACACATACACACACATGCACACACATGGCACACATACACACATGCACGCACGCACACACTCACACACACGCACACATACACACACATGCACACACATACATGCACACACAAACATACACACACACACATACACACACACATGCACACACACATGCACACACAAACCTGTCTCAGTCCTTTCAGTGTTGTATCTATGTACACGTGTTTAGGGATGCACACTTGGGATTGGATAGCCTATCAGGAGCTTGTCCCTCGAGAAACCTGATTCTCCTCTCAGCAGCCAATGATCGCCTATAGCTCTTCCTCTGTGGGCGGGACCTTGGAAGAGGACCGGAAGATTCAGAGGACCAGGATGCCTACCTACTACAAGGTAGTGTCCTCTAGAGAAGAACTCTCAACAACATGGTTGTGTAAAAAGACCCACATGTTGACACCAGTTACATGTCCAAATATACCCTTAAATGTTTTTCAGCTATTTTTTTTTTTAGCATTTCTTTTAGCATTTAAATAAAGATTTATTAGTCCAGCACTCAGGAGGCAGAGGCAGGTGGATCTCTGTGTGTTCACGGTCGTCTGATATGCAGAGAGAGAGTTCTAGGACAGCCAGGGTCACACAGAGAAACCCTGTCTGGAGGGGTTTGTTTATGAGTGTGTGTGTGTGTGTGTGTGTGTGTGTGTGTGTGTGTGTGTGTGTGCTCCCGCGCGCCTGTGGACAGATCCCTGCAGGGCCCAGAGAGTGTTGGATCCCCGGAACTGGAGTTATAGGTAGTTATGAACCATCTATTGGGGTGCTACGCCCCTAGGTTTTCTGCAAGAACAGTAAGAGCCCTTAAGCACCGAGTCATCTCTCCAGCACTTATTATTTCCCTATTTACAAAAGAAAAATGTGTATGAGAGTGTGTTGGCGTGTGTGTGTGTGTGTGTGTGTGTGTGTGTGTGTGTGTGTGTGTACAACCAAATGTGTGCCTGGTAGCCATAGAGGCCAGCACTGGTTTTAAATACATGGTGCTGGTTACCATGCAGAAGGTCATAAGGCACAACAAAACCTAGAGCTTTATTGGGGGCGGGGGGCAGAAAAGAGGAGCCAGGCCTGGGAAGAGGCACATGGAGAGAGAGAGAGAGAGAGAGAGAGAGAGAGAGAGAGAGAGAGAGAGAGAGAGAGAGAGAGAGAGACTCTGTCACCAGCTTTTTTTTAATTAAGAGATTTTCTATTCACTTTACATGCCAACCACAGATTCCTCTCTCCTCCCTCCTCCCACCCCCAGCCTCTCCCCAACCCACCCCATTCCTACCTCCTCCAAGGCAAGGTCTCCCATGGGGAGTCAGCAGAGCCTGGTACATTCAGTTGAGGCAGGTCCAAGCCCCTCCTTCCTGCACCAAGGCTGCACAAAGTGTCTCACCATAGGCACTGGGCTCCAAAAAGCCGGCTCATGTACTAGGGACAGGTCCGATCCCACTGCCTAGGGGCCCCCTAAACAGTTCAAGTTAAACAACTATCTCGGCTATCCAGAGGGCCTAGTCCCTGTGACCCACTTTTTAAGGATTTCCCTGAACATGCGCATGTGGGCTTATGGAGCTATACCACAGGTTGCGTGACCATGCCACGCGCATTACATAATCATGCAGCACACAGATGACATAATATGTAAGATCCCTTGCTTAGCTACTGAACTGTACATGTGCGGTCATGCATGCAGCTGGAGGAGTGGCAGAATCCTAACAGCCAGAAAGTATGTTGTTATGCCCAGATCTCAGGGAGCCCCAAAAGACCACCACAGGAGACTGAATCCCATGTGTAAAAGCAAAGAGCCTTTATTTCAAGCTCAGAGCTTGGTCTCTCTGTCCAACCCAGCAGTGAGAGCAGAGAGCCCCGAGCCCAGGCAGGGTAGGTTTTTTATCACAGCAGAGGTTGGGGTGAGAGGATTTCCAGGGTTCAGGACCCTGACTGGCTGACATTTGTCTAGGGGCACTGGAATGTTTGGGATGTCAGGTATTTCCCCTCAGATGCAGGCCCTCCCTGGGTGGGGTCAGCTCATAGCTTCTCCTGGATCTGGGTGTTGCCTGTCAGTAAGCCTGTCACAGAAGCTGTGTCTGGGCCTCTAAACCTGTCATGGCAGTTGTGTGGACAAGCTGTTTTGGGTCCCCCTCAACAGTGTCAGATCCCCTGGACCTGGAGTTACAGACAGTGGTGAGCTGCCATGTGGGTGCTGACAACTGAACCCTGGTCCTCTGAAAGGGCAGCCAGTGCTCTTGACTGCTGAGCCATCTCTCCAGGCACTAAAACATCACTTTTTGATGGCAAAATTTTTTGAAGGTAAGAAGATCTCATGTAGTCCAGGCTGGCCTTGAACTCCCTATGTAGTTGAAGATAACCTTGAGCTTCTGAGCCTCCCATTTCTCCTCTTCAGCACTGGGGGCGCTGCCGTACGTCACTGTTTTGTTCATACAGAATGAGCTTATTGTTGTTGTTGTTCCATATAGTTTCTATGTCCATCATGGAACTCCCTTTGTAGACCAGGCTGGCCTCAAACTCACAGAGACCCACCTGTCTCTGCCTCCTGTGTGCTGGGATTAAAGATGAGCAGCACCACTGTCCAGCTGCAGAATTAGCCTTTACAGGCTTAATGGGGACGTGGAATTTCATAGCTGGAAGGCATTTGGAGTCAATTTGAACTAGTCTTTTTACACTCCCAAACTAAGGACTAGAGAGGCCAAGCAACGGGCTGAGGGTCTCACAGCTAATCCATGACATAACTAGAGTTTGGTCCTGCATGACATCCTGGTGATGTATTGTGTCCCCCAATAAAATTTATCTGAGGATCAGAGGAAAAAGCCAGCCACTATAGTAAACACAGAAGTCAGGCAATGGTAGCACATGCCTTTAATCCTATCATTCAGGAGGTAGGGATCTGTCTGGAGCTCTGTGAGTTCAAAGTCACACTGGGAACAGAGCCAAGTGTGGTGGCACATGCCTTTAATTCCAGCACTAACCATAGAGGTCTTGAGGTCTGTACAGACAGACAGGAAGTGACAGAGCTGGCCAGGAAGAGGAAGTGATGTAGCTGGACAGAGGGAGCACATGATATACCAGAAGAGAAAGGCATATAGACATGGGTATACAGGAAGTAGGTCGCTTTTGGAAACTGAGGTGTCGGTGAGATGAGGTTAGCTTGTGGCTTATCCTATTCCTCTGCTCTCTCAGGTTTTCACCCCTACATCTGACTCTGTGTTTTTTATTTAATAAGACCTTTTAAGATTCATCTACAGACATCATCTCCAAAAACTGGTAAAGAAGAGAGACTTTGGTGAGGGACCGCTAGTCCAAAGCACAGCGCAGCTTTCAGAGGAGTGAGAATAGCAATCTTAATGTGTTAGGGGTAGTGGCTAAAAAAGGAGCCAGGTGGTCACATGCTTGTGACTGTTCTTTCCGCAGAGTCTGGAGACCTTCCAAAGTTAAGAAACACGTAGTGGTTGTGCCCCAGACCATGATCTCTAATAGTGGCTTGAAGGTCAGCTGCTGCCTGCAGCCACAACCTCAGCCACCAGGGACTTTTTGCTGTCCTGAGCTGGTACTGGGATTGCAGTGAATGAAACAGTTCCAGGGCATCAAGATTGTGAGGGCCTAGAAGACTGTGCAGTCAGCCTGGGCCACACCGACTCCTCAGAAGCCTCAGTCTCAGGGACTACTGTTTGGTTAAAACAGTCTAAAGCAGGTGTTGCCCTCTGTTTGCTGTAATTTAAATAGTAAGCAGAAACAATGCATTGAAATCCTGCTTCCTTGTTGAAATGGAAGTTTAGGTTAGATTATATTAAACAAATCATTGGGAAGTTTTTGCAAGGGAATTTTTGTCTAGTTAGTCAATCATTTCAGATTGCAGGATGCAATCCCTATGCCACATCCCTAGCTACACAGGACTTAACACACTCCAGAGAAGAACTTTACAAGGCCGATGTCATTTTGTTCATGATGTTTATTTTAGCATCCTTTCCAGTTTTACCCATGGGGGGAAAATAGCAAATTGCTCTTTTAAAAACAAACTGTGTTAAATTTGGAGTCCATTCTGATTTAAACAAATGACTTAAAAAAATAAATAAAATGGGGAGAAAAGGAAAATCCTCCATGCATAAAAATTACAAACAGTTTCTGTAGCTGCTTTGCCCGGAGGAGGTGGTGCACAGTCCCACTCGTTCCTGTAACTACATTGCCCGGAGAATGTGGCGCACAGTCCCACTCGTTTCTGTAACTACATTGCCCGGAGAATGTGGCGCACAGTCCCACTCGTTTCTGTAACTACATTGCCTGGAGGAGGTGGCGCACAGTCCCACTCGTTTCTGTAACTACATTGCCCGGAGGAGGTGGTGCACAGTCCCACTGTGTGGCTATGTACAGTGTCTGCCTTCAGAAGAGCACGGAGTGGGAGAAGGTATGAAGTGGAGAAACTGGTCCTGTCAGGTAGCTTTCCCTCAGAAGGATGCACCTCAGATAACCAACTGAAAAAGAGAAAGGTTTGCTTTGGCTCAGGCCTTTAAAAGTTTCAGTCCATGATTAAGTGATTATTTCTTTGGGCCATTGTGGGAGAGCAAAACCACTCCCCTCACAGCCTGGAGGGGAAAGATGGGAGGAGAAAGGGGTTCAAGGCCCATACTCCCTTTGGAGGGGGGTAACAAGCCTAAGGTCACACAAGATCCCATCTCTCAAAGGTCTTGCCACTACCTTCAACCAAACTTTTACCTTGTGGATGTAACTGGAGATGGAGTTTCCTGTCCCATATGCCCAATTATACCTGGCATAATTGAAATAACCACTCAGAGGTTTATATTAATTATAAATGCTTGGCCAATGGCTCAGGCTTATTACTAGCCAGCTCTTACATTTAAATTAACCTATTTCTATCAGTCTATGCATCATCACATGGCCCATGGCCTACTGGTTCTCTGACATCTTGTTCCTTGGGTGGCTCAATCACATCAGTGCTGACTCTGCCCTCCTTCTCCCTGTATCTCTGTTTGGCTTTCCTGTCCAGCCTTATTCTGCCTGGTTATAAGCCTAGGCAACTTTATTATCAACCAATGAAAGAAACAATATTCACAGTGAACAGAAGGACGTCCCATGGCATTTCCATCTTCCTGTCTAATCTAAAAGGAAGATTTTAACTGTAACATAGTAAAATTATATACAACACAAACAGTTA